CTAATTTTTATACTTTGTAAGAATATTGTTAAAAGTTGGAGAGTTTTACATCCGAACCCTTCATACCAAAAATATAATATTAATAACTTTTAAGTAGTAAAATAGAAAAAAAACTTTCTGAACATATACAAACTAAAAATAAAATTAAATTAAGTTTTTTCCAAAAAAATATCATTGAAGACATAATAAATTACTTGTTATATGATACGGTTCTATAGAGAATACAACTTTCAAGTTACGTTAAAAAAAATATAATAAAAAATAAAATCGGCTTCAAAAAAAAATTAACTTTTTTTTTTAGATGTTTCTAGATAAAAATTTTTTTTTTACAACTTTATTTATTAATCAAATAAATAACTTAACTCTTGTGCAATTCAATATTTATGAAGTGTAAAGCAAACGAGAAGCAAAAAATCTGTGTTTATTATTAATATATCCTTATTTACTAGTATATACGCTCATATTTAACTACAGAAGAGGTGTATTTAAGTATATTTTTGTTTCAGAAAACCTATTACTAATTTTTTAATATGGATATTAATTTACACTGTCTCCGGTTACAGCACTAACCCTTCGAATTATAATTATAATAAGAGTGCCATATAAAATATAATTTACTTATAATTATTATAAAGAAAAAATTAGAATTTTTAGTTTTTACTTTCTTTTATGAAATAAATAATTTTATGGTGGTTTTCAATATCACAATAACATAGCCCCAAGTTTTTGCATCAAGGGTCACCTAGTATAACTACAGAGGAGCTTTTGCAGGGGCTATCATTTCCTCTCCTCTGTAGAGTTAGTATTTTTTTTTTTTAAATTATACAGTAATATTTATATATCTGTCTATTATTGAAAATTGTCTAGTGCAGTATTGTTGATATAGTAGTACAATGTCTCCCCTTCCATTCTTGTGCTGTCATCTTATAAGAAACATACACAAAAATTAAGATAAAATATGAAAATCTACTCTCGGGAGCATTCTTTGAATTAATAAATTTTTGTTTAGTTTAATGCGTTTTGTGTTATTGTATTTTAGTTTTTATTTTATTATATTTCGGTGTTTTTGTATTATAAATCCATGTTATGGTTTGCGTGGTTATATATATTTTTAATTAGATTTTTGGATTGTTTCCATTTTTGTGTATGTTTCTTATAATCTTTTTAACCCTGATTATCAGGAATGTTTTAAGCGTGTAATGCTGCGCTAACCATAGTTGCAAAAATAGCTTTACTAGTTAACAGGCTCCACGCTGTGGTACAAAAAAACTTAAGTAAAAATAATAAAAAAGTTCTTACACCAATTAATAAACGATGGTGAATTCTATGCCAATAAAAAACGATGCGTATTAAACAACATTAATGAAATAAACTTATTTGAAGCAATATATAAAAAACACTTAAACTTTTTTCTGTTTTAAATCCAGCCAAACCGGCTGGCAAAAAAATGTCTTCTCTCTGCGTCTCTCGTTTTCCACTTTATTGTGCCTCCTTCTGTTCTTATTTTCATACACTCCAGTCATGAACCCGCTGAGTTATATTAGAATAAACATTAGGCTTAACAGGTAATCTGCTATTTTTGTAATAGCCTTTTGGTATAAATATTTTCTAAACAGTTTTATTTAGTAGTATAATCTATATTAAAGGTGCGCCTTTTATTCGGCATATATAAAGTTCTTATTAAGTTTTTAAGAACTTATAAAATTTACTTATAGACAAATGGAAGTACTATCTATACACTGAAGAATCACTAGTATAATAAATACTTAAAAAAGAAAGCAGTTCCCAATTAGCGAGAATTAAAGCTTTAATGAACACTAAAATTAATAATTAAATCTACAGACAACTGAAAAAAACTATCATTCTATCCTCACGCTCAAGCTCTAATAAAAAAACTTAATACTTTTGTCATAGGTATATAAATTCTATTTATAATTTTAAAAGGAATATCATAATAGTACGATTTACACTTTAAGGTTTTTAAAAAAATTAACCATCTTTTAAAAAGAATAATTGTGACATTTCACAGAAATTTGAACCACAATTGACTCTCGCGTATCTTGTAAAATTTCATACTTTCCCTATAATAAATATATCGTAAACTCAAAAGCATTTTTATCTTGCTTGATTAGTATTGTAACTCCTTTATAAACCAAGCAATGCATACTAATTCGAAAAACTTTTGTCGTTCCATACGGGTGTAATCTTCTTTTATTCTACGTATATCCCTTTTCACATTTATAACTTTTGTTATATATAAATTCTGACACTATATTTTCTTATATTTTACTTTACATATAATTATACAATATATCTACGATTTTTATTACCCACAAATCTGATATATTGTACTTATTAACGAACTAAAAACGGGGTTACTATACAACAAAAAAATGATTGTATAAAATATTTTTTATAAAGAAATATTAATTCGTATTTATTAATAATTATATCCTAAGTTTAATAATTTTGCTTAATAATTTCGTATTTATATATAGTGAATAGTTTTTGTAATTTTTTTTCTTCATTTATTTTATAGTACTACTTTAAAATCTTTAGAAAAAAAATAATAGTATAAAGAATATTGTTATAAATATAAAAAACAGTAAAGAATGTAACAACACAGTAACAAAAATTAATTTGGTATAATGTTATAATAAAAAGATTACTTTTGTATTTAGTATATAGTGATAAAAATGAATATAAAGTTTGATCTTTGCTATATTTGTTTCAGTTATCTTTAACCCATTATCTATATTTTTGACTTTTGAACGTTTATTTAGAAATTTTCAAGGATAAGATTTTGCTCACTCGTATAGTTTGTGTATGTGTAGTAATTAAGTTAATAGTGTTATTGGGTATAAAAACTTACTTTGAATATTTAATTTTAGAAGTGTGGAAATATATTACGTCTTTCTTTCAAGCTTTTACTTAATGTTTCGTTTTATAATTTCTGTTTTTGTTAAAATAGAGTCGTGTTGCTTGAGCTATAGCACATTTTAAGAGAATTATATATCATAAAAATTATAAAAATAATTTGTCACAACTTTTTTATAAAAAGATAATATGTAGTTCTATTTTCTTAATAGTATTGTTTATTATTAACTTTAAAAAAGTTTTTAAAAAAACATTTAAACTTTAAACGCCCTTTAGATATTTTTAAAAGATTTTCTAATAAAAGTTGAAGGATATGTGATTTAATTAAACAATTTTAAAGCTCACTTTAAAGGTTTGCTTGTTACTTCTTCTGAGAAGTATAAATAAACTTCTTTCAAAATTTAACGTTAAAAAACATTTCTTTTTAAAAAATAAACTTTAAACTTCTATTTTATTAAAGGAAGCTTGTAAAAGATTTTATAATATCTTTTTCATTTCCACTTCCCCCTGAAGATACTTATTATCTCTTTACTACTTATTTTTTGTTTTAGTATGGTTATTGAAAAGAAAGATGCCTTTTCTTTTTTTTTTTTTTTTTTTTAACTTTTATACTACCAACTAAGTTTGTAGATAACATTTATATGTTATTTTTCTTTATTATATAATATTTTTAAATAAACCTTTTTTTATTCGAAAAAGCTAAAAACATATTTGTTAGTAATTTTGAACAAAGTTTGTAGGTAACGTGTATACGTTATTTTTTTTAAGTTAACGTGATAATTTTAAATAAACTTTTCTGCAATAAAAGTTAAAAAAATTATATATCGTTCGTAAAAAGTTAATTATTTTGTAGACAATTTTACTCTAATATTCTTATGAAAAGTTAGGAATATCTCAAATCTTTTGTAAAATGTTCAATAAAGTTTTTATATAATTCTGATAAGCTATTTTTTGTAAGATTACAGTATTTTTATTATAAACTAAAATTTTTTTAAAACTTAAATATAAACACATATCGTGTAAAATTTTTATTAAAAAATAGTTTGTAGATAATTTTAAAGGCTATTTTTCTAAAGTTTATGATATTTTTCAATAAACAGATGCCTTCCTAACTTTTATACTAATAAATTTTATAGTTAAAAAAAGTTTGATAAAGTTTATTTTCTATTTTTCTCAAGTGTATAACATTTTTTTAGTTAACTTTAATATATTAAGGTTATAAATATGTTATATCATTTATTTCTTCCTTTATCTTTAAGTTCTTCACAAACCGCACAAAGCATAAGCAGAGGTACTAAGAAAAACAAAAAATGGAGGGCAACGCATCACTTTGCCCTACTGCTTTATTGTTTTGTTTATTTTTAAATTATGGAAAACCATAATTCTCATGTATCGAAGGTTACTATTTTTTTATTTTTTTTACTTAATATATCATCTTAAAAAAAATACTTATTATAAAAAACTTTTATCCTTGTTATTAATTTTATTCAATAAAAAAATTATTTACTATCTTTTTTTTATTCTCGCGTTTTTTTTATTATTTTGCTTTGTATTTCATTTCTAAAAAAAGATTATCTATTTAATTATTTTTTATTCATCCTTTTATATTAATTATTATTTTACGTTATAAATCTCCATAAAAAAAAATATATACTACTAATATTTTTTATTCCAAAATTATTATATTTTTGAAATTTTTAATTTTAAAAGAAAAGAATTATTATTAACTTTTTTTTTAAAAAGCTGTTAGAAAGCTCTTCTCCTTCTGCCTCAACTTCTGGTTTCTTAAAAAATCTTTTATTTTTATTCATTTTTTTTAAAATTTTTTTGTTTCAGAATTATTTCAAGAGTATCAATTCCTCACTTCTTCAGTTATTAGACAACTTTACCAGCACTTTCATATTTCTTTTATTGCCTTTAAAGAAAACTTTCATCTTTATAATGGTTAAATAAATTTTTTTTTAAAGAATGTAATGATAATAAAAAAAATCTTTAGAAAATTCTTTTTCGAGAATGAAATTTATATCTGAAACTAGTTCAAGGCAATTTTTGAATTCCTTTTTTTTTTTTTTTTTTACTAAATTATATATTATTAATTTTTTTTATTAAGATATTTTTCTTTTTTATGTTTTGCCTGCCAAAAACTTGAAAAAGATTCCACAGAGTTTCAAATTTTTTTTTCTTTGTCAAAAATTTGGTACCTTTGCGAACAATTATTCACAATTCCTCCAGCAGGTTTTAAAAAACTTTATTCTAACTTTTTTTATTATATTAAAACTTAAAAATATATAATTTGAGATGGTTAACACATAAATTTTAAGGAAATTGTAATATTTATTACAAAAAGTTACGGTTTACTTAATTTTTCATTTCAATTTAATTTATAATTTTTTTTAAATTTATTTGTTATTTTTCTTTAAGTTTTTAGTAATTTATTAATTCTAAATTTAAACGCCAATTGAAATTTTTTAAAAAGTTATTTTCTAATTTAATTTTATTTGTTTCCAGGCATTTAAAATATAATTTAATTTTTTATTTTTTATCTTTTTTTGCTATAATAATATTATATTATCATTTTAAATAATAAGCTTTTTTTATAATAATACTAAAATTGGTTTCTGTAGGGGCACGTGCCGGGCCCCATCTTGCTAAATGGCTGGAGGTTTGTTTTTCTGAGGTGGGTCTTTCTTACTTTTTATTAGAAATTTCTTTTTTTTTTCTATTAAAATTTCTTTTATACTAATAAAATTTATGAATTTCTACTAAACTTTTAAAAATTTTTACTTTTTTTAAAAAATTAAGTAGAAAAATATTTGTGGCACCAGATTTCCTTGCAAAAAAAATTGTCAATATTTTTAGTAGTAAGTTAGTATTGAACTTTTTTTAAGTTAATTTTAATTTTTTGCTATTAAGCTTTAGAAAAATATTTTAAAAATTTAATTAAGTAATATATTTTTTGTAATTAATATTTTAGTAAAAATTCCATTGTAACACGAGATTTTTTCTTTATTTTTTTTTTGATGCTTATTTTGTACTGAAAGTTTATAGTTTCTTACCAAATTTTATTTTGAAAAATTTTAAATTATTTTATTGTTTGATTTTTCGGAAGAAAATTAATTTTTAAAACTAAATCTTTTTTTTTTTGGACTATTGGAATTTATAAGGTCTCTAACAATTTTAAAGTTGAATTTTTTTCTGTACTTAAATTTTTAGAAGTAAATTTTAAAAATTTGATTTTTTTTCTTTTTGGTATTTATAGCCCTTATAAATTTTTTAGTGTAAATTTGTAGATTTTTTTTTGTAATTAAAAATATATTATTAACTCTTTTTTTAATATCAATTTAATACTGTTAAAGTTTTGCAAAAATTTAAGTAATTCATTTTACTTAATATTTATTAGTAAATTCGTTGACGAAATTCTCATTTCCTTCTTTTAATAAATTTATTTATACCAAAAATTGTTCTATAAGAGTTGCTGAATTTTTAAAATTTTATAAATTTTTAATTTTGGAATTTTTTTTCAGTAGGAAATCTATGAAACACGATTTTCCTGCAAAATTTAACTCTAATTTTTTTGCAATAAATTTTGTTGTACACGATCTTTAAAAAGGCCAATAAAGGGCTCTTGATAGTCAATACTGTATCTCTTTTTTTATTTAGTTATTTTGAAATTTTTTTTTCTGGGTAATTTAAATTATAATTTATTTAATTTTAACTTCAGAGTAAATTACAAATAATTTATAAATACTTTTTTTATATTTAAAAATTAGTTTCAAAGTTATTTAAAATATTTTATTTTACTATGACGATCGTTTTTTAAGATTATTTTAGTCCAATATGAGTTAAGTGAAGTACAGAATATAAGTTCAGAAGTAAATTTTATTTTAAAAAAATCAAAATTTTTTTGTGCATATTAAAAAAATTTATTTATTATATTTTTATATAAACTCTTCTCAATTTTTTATTTTTTTTATAACTTTTTCTTAATAAAATTGAAAAATAGTTTTACATTTTATATATATTCCTAAAACTTTTTACTTTTTTTTTAATATTTATAAGTTTTTTTATATTGAATTTATTATTTTATATAACTTTTTATTGCTTATAAACAATTTTTTTCTCCTTTTTTTTTATTTTTTTTAAAATTTAAATTTTTTTAAAAAAGAAAAAAAAATGATTAAATATTTTAAATATTTTATATTAATATTTATATTTACCATTTTTTCAATAAAAATTAAAAATTAGTTATACATTTTATAATAAAAAATTTTAAATATATTTTTATTGTTACTTTTTTTATATTTATATTTTTTTTTTTTAATTTTATATATTTTTTATAACTTTTTATTATATAATTTTTTTTACTTTAAAATTTTTTTTTAGTATATTTTTATTTTTGCTTTACTTTAATATTTATAATTATTTTTTATAACTTATTATTATATAATTTTTTTTATCTTTTTTAAAAAAAACTTTTTTTATTATATAAATTTTTTATAACTTTTTTATTGTTTGTATGAAGTTTTACTTTTTTTTTTTTTAGAAAACTATAAAAATTTTTTTTTTATTTTTATATTTACTTTTTTTATAATTATTAAAAAAATTTTTATTTTTAATTTTATTATTTTGTTTAAACTTTTTCCTATTATATTTTTATATTTACTTTTCTTTAAATTTTTTTATACCATTTTTATTATTTATATTTATATTTTCTTTTTCTCACTTTTTCTCAACTTTTTTTTTTATATTATAAAATTATTAATTTATAATTTCCATTATTTATTATGAATTTATAAAAGTTTTTTATTATCAATTTCTAATGAAAAAGGAGGAAAAAGAGAAGGATTTGCTAACGCGGTTTAAATTGTTGACTTTGCGAGGCGCTAAAAGAGAAGCATTAAAATTACTGAACAAAGAACGATTGGTCACGTGACATCCACTTTCCCGTTCCTACATATCACGTGTCACTCGTGTGTTCAAAGAGCACTTGTTGCTTAAATGTGCACTTCACACTCTATAACGATTTTTCTTTTCTTTGGTGGCGCAGACTTTTGATGCTTCCCAACACGAAATTATTTGCGAACTTTTTAGTGAAATGCCTGAATGGTTTACTGATTGGTCAAAAAGAGTTGATTTTGCTCACTACGAAAAGTAAATTTATATATATTTTATAAATAATATTTACTTTCAGTAAAAACATTGAAATTTATTTCGTTTTTTTTATTTTAAAATTTGATTATTTATCAATTAAATACGATATTATTTATAATGAAGATGGAAGGAGCGATGCTATTCTGAACTTTTACGAGCGGGCGAGCAGGAAAGTTATTATGTTTCGGTGTTGAAGATTCTGAGCGGAGATGAACTCGAAATAAAAAGAAATTCTCTCCATTGGTACTTTGCTTGGCTGAGATTATTGTTGTTTTCTATATATGGAATGTTTTTTATCCAATGAAAGCTTTACTTGATTTTTTTAGCTTTGGTACATTCGATTGGCTCATTTTCTATATGTAGAAAATTTTTTTGTGATTTAAGTTTTATAATTAAATAACTTTATGTTTTGTTTTGTTTGATTGCCTGTTGCCTTCTATATATGGAATGTTCAGTGCCAAATATGGTTTATACTCTGGATCATTCTAAATTTCAATATAATTAAAAATATTTTTGCATTGGTGCGTACATTTGATTGGCTGAAGTTTTTCTTTATCTAAAGTTATTGGTCAATGAATAATGTTAAATATGATGAATATGAATTAAAAAAAATTTCGTTGATATATCCGATTGACTTATATAATTTTTGTCTTTTTTCTATTGTGAACTTTTTTTTGACTAATGGATAATTTTTAATTCGTTAAAAAATTCCATTAGTAAATTTGATTGGATTAAATAATTTTTTTTTCTATATATGAAAAGTCTTTTAATTAATTCGAATTTAAGAAAAATGGTAATTTTCAGCTTAACATAAAAAACTTTGCACCAATACAATTGGCTTATATAATGTTGGATTCTGATATATAAAAACTTCCTACCCAATAAAAGTTTGCAGTATAGTAAATACATTTTATATTAATATATTTGATTGGCTGAAATAAATGTTGGTTTTTTATTTATGGAAACTTCATTGGTAATAAAAATGAAAAACTTTTGCATTGGAATATTTATTTGGTTATGATATTGTTTATTTTTTTAATTATGAAAGCCTTTTGGGGGCAATGACCATTAACATTATGAATAATTTTTGGCGGTTTTATTAAAATTGCTAACAAATAGCTTTAAACATATTATATATATACTTTTTTTTATAAAATAATGATAAGAAAGTTATTAACTTTCAAGGGTAAGAAATTCATAATTAAAATAGCTTAATAATAGTGTTGGCGCGAAAATATTTTATTGTAAACTATTGAAATTTTTTTTTTAAATTTGCTTGGCCTATACGAATGTAGGGGTGGTTGGGCTAAGCATAAATAATAATAGTAAATTTAATTTTAATTGGATTACCAATCTAATTAAATCTTTTTATTCGAATTTTATTATCGAATAATGATAGTTTAATTTTTTAACTTATATTATAAATCTTTTTATTATAATAATTGCTTTTTTTAGGTATTACATGATTGTTGGGGACTTATGTTATGTGGATTGTACTGTAAAGTTCACCGAATTGGATCAATTCGTCCCTCGCTGGCAGGCAGATGCATCCGATTCGCTGAATGTACACCGTTCACCGCCCATCGCGTTTACTTATTACAAAAAGTTTATGGGGGAATTTTTTTTATCATTAAATTTTGTGCAATCAATACTTCCCCCCATTTTTGAGTATATATTAAAAATTTATAATACCCTCCCGAAAGCTAAGAAATTCTACCCATATAATTTTTTAAGCTCCAGTAAAGCTGTTTTTCTTCTTGATAAATAAACGTTGTACTTTTAAGGAAACCTATTAGTAAAATATATTTTTCATATTCATTAAAGCCACTTTCTACTAAAAAACGTTTAGTGAGGTATTCTTTTATAACCAATACAATTACTTTAAAAACATTCAATTTTTTTATCAGTTAATTTTGTGCAATTAAATAATGCGCGCCAATTCTTCATCTTTTTTTTCTTTTTTTTTATTAACTCTTTATATCCCCCAAAATATATTATTTTTTCTACCAATTAAGTTGTTTTTATGTATCCAATGACTGTAATGTTATTTTTATTATAAAGAAAAACTATAAAAAAATTAATTTTATCTTTTTATTTTAATAAGAATTTATCTACAAAAAGTATAACTGTAAAACTTTCGGCGAATTATTATATATAAACTCAAAAATTGTATTAAATTTGGTGTTTGTTTATGTAAATTGCATCATTATTTTATAATTGGCACGAATAGCGCAGAGGTAATTAAGTTGTAATTAATAATAAGAAAATATATTTTAAAAAAGTTATTAAAAATTATTATAATCACACAAACTTATATAAAAAATATAAAAAATAATAGTATTTGTAAATAAAATAATGAAATCTTATTAATAATAATACTTAAAAATAATTATAATAAAATAAAATAAAATAATAATTATAATAAAATTTATAAATTGTAACTAAATTATATTGAATTACAACAATTAAATAAATAGTTAAAAGCAAGTAAATAATAAATAATTTACAATTAATAATAACAAAATAAAGAATTACAGGCAAATAAATAACAATAACGAAACCTATAAGTAGTAAATTTATCATAATTTATAATAATATTAAGATAAACCTCTTTTAATTAATAAAAAATTAATATAATAACGCAATTTATTTAAACTATAAAAAATGGTAATAAGTAAATAAATTATTATAAATAATAGTAATAATACTTGTAACTAAAAAATAATATAATCTTAATAGTAATAATACTCAAAAATAATAAATAACTAATAGAAAATAAAATAATAATTATAATAATAACATTTAAGGATAGTATTAAATAAAAAAAATTAAAATATTAATTATAGACTTTTGATTTTCTTGTGACTGCTGCGCTAAAAAACGAGCCTTTTGAAGTTTTGAGGTTTTTATTTATATTTTATTATTATTATTATTCTACTTTCATTCATTTTTTTTTAGAAAATCATTATTTCTTTGTTGATTTTTTAATATAAAAAAGTTTTTTATTTTTTTGATCTATTTTTAAAGTTTTTATTTTGAATATTAAGTTTTAATAATTCTATTATCAAATATTTTTTTATTCAAAGGGATCGAAACACGTGGTTTACTTTTTCTTTCACTATTTTTTTTGCTGATTTTTTTTAAAGTTATTAATATATTGTTTATTGTTTCATTTACTTTAATTTTTATTAATATTATAATTATTATGGTTTCATCAATGAATTTTACTATCCAATGATATTACAAAGGTACGGGACCACATGAGCCAATATTTTTTTCTAATTTTATTTGTTTTGTAAATTTTAATATTATCGATTTTTGATAATATCTCAAGTGTATGAAACCACGTGACTTTCTATTCTCATTATTTCATAGTTTCATAATTTTAATGTTATAATTATCCATTAAGATAATTTCAAACTTATGGACCACGTGGCTCACTATTTTTTTTAGTATATTTCAGTTAATAAATTTTATTTATTTCGAAATCCAATGAGATTATTACAAGTGTATAGAACACGCGTTTTTTGATTTTTCATTTTTTTATTTATAAATTTTTACGACTTTGTTATCCAATAAGATTATGCCAAGAGTATGGGAACACGTGGTTTACTGCACATTTATTCGATCTGATTATTACTAGTGGCCATTCTTCCGTAGTTGCGGAGGGAAAAGCGTAACTTTTTTATTATGATTATTACATCTGTATATTTTAGTATCTAAAAATATTGAGTAATTTCTTTTTATTATTTTTAAAGCCTTCGAGAAGATTTACTAGTGGCTTATGCTAACGTACTTCTCCGCGATAATAGTTATGGCATGTGGCAGGTTTTTTTAAAAAATGCATAAATATAATAATATATTTTTAATAATGAGAGTAGTGGAAAATAAGAAATTCATTAATTTTTTAGCTAATATTTATAATTTAATATATAATATATTAATATTTTGATGAAAGTACTTCAAAACATTAACTTCTATTTTTATTTTTAAATTCATTAAAAATATTTTATATATTTTAAAAATAAGAACTTCACTAATTTTATAGTTAAATTTATTTATAAAAGATAATATATAAATATGATGAAAGTAGTTAAAAAATAAGCTCTTCACTAATTTTATTGTCAATTTTTTTTAAAATATATAAAAATAATATTTAATGAAAGTAATAAGAATAAGTAATTCACTAATTTTGTGGCATAATTTATTATTAAAAAAATATATTATTTATGAAAGTAGTAAAAAAATTAAGTAATCCCCTAGTTTTAAAGCAAAAGTTTGTCAAAATTTTTAATGAATGTAAAAAAATATAAGAGAATAACGCTTTTGGAAAGCATATTAATATACCGAACCAAATAACTAAGATTGGCGCCGATTATCTGAAATATTGCGGTGAAAAAGGAAAAGTGGAGTTTCGAAACCACGTGGACGCGCTGGCGCAATCGCATCAGCTCAAAGTCAGGAAAGTTTTGGAACTTTGCTTGTACTTTGGGCTCGTCGAGAAGTGTTGCTATTCGTGCCTTTTCTCTATTTTTATTTCTTATATAAAATTTTTGTTTTCGGATTTGCTGGGGTAGAGTGTCTTATTTTTTAATTGTAACTTTTTTTCTTATAATTTATATTTATTTCTCGAATAATCCAAATAATTATTAACTTTTATACATTTCATAGCATTTTAGCATAAACTTTTGTTGTTCGTGCCTTTTTACTTATTATTTGCTGTTCCAATGTTTGTTCCTGTTTTTAGTGAAAATAACTTTTTAACTGAAATTATTACTTCCTTATTGTATAATTTCGATTATTAACAACTTTTATGTAAATTTCATAATTTTTTATGAATATTTTTTATTATTGTGAAGATAATGCCATTTGTCTTTTCCACGGAAATACCGCATTAAAGAATAATCACTTTTGCTCTGCTTTGAGGTTTTCTATTCATTTTTATTAAAATTTATATATTATTTTAAATTTTTTTATATTTATATATATTATTTATTTTTGTATTTCTAATATATTATATATATTTTGTATATTTCATATTTTTTATATTAATAATTCTAAATATTATTTTAATTCTATTGATGTTTATATATTTTATATTTATTTTTTTATATTAACATATATTATAATTATTTTTTTAATATATTTGTTTATAGTTTTAAAATATTAATTATATTTTCTTAATATTTTATATATAATTATATATTTCACAGTTTTTTTATATATATTTTCTTATCTTTTCTAAATATTTATATAGTTTTATTTATTTATTTATATATTTTTATATTACTAAATACCTTTTTTATTTATATATTTTTTATATTATATTATATTTATTTATACTTCATTTATATTTTTATAATGTATTTTTTTATATTTTTATATTTATAGATTTTATATTTATTTTTCTTTATATAAATTTATACTTAATATATTTTATGAAATTTTCTATATATTGTTATTATTTATAATTTAATTATATATATAAATTTATTTTTTCTTACGGTTTATTTTTATATTTTATATATTTATATATACTTTATATTTCTTTATAGTTTTCTTATTTATTGTATATATATTTTATATTTAAAGTTTTTTTATATTTTTTTTTATAGTTTATATATTTATATTTTTTTTATTATTTCTTATATATTTATATTTATTTTTAATATTTTCCTTTATATATTTATATATTTTATGCTTATTGATATATTTTTAAAATTTTTACTTATTTTTATTTAACTTATATAATTTTAAGTTTTTTTATATAAATTTATTATGTTTAGGTGGTTCTGGAAAGGCCACTGGCAAGACCATGTCGTTAAAGTTATTGATCAACTTATGGACGAATCCGATAAGAGCTTTGAAGCAGCCAATCGCATCCATGGAATGGTCAATAACCACATGTTTGCTCAGAAATTATATTTTAAAATGCATCTTTTATTACTAGTTTGCTGTGTTGAGCGAAAAAGACTTTCGTTGTTTTCCTCGCTTAAAAATTTTGGAGCATTATTGCGCCTTAAATATGATTCTTTATGAGTAAAACTTTTATTTATTAATTTTTTTTTGCTACTGGCGTATTTCACTAGTGAAGCTTTTCGGGATCAAGAAAATCTGAAAAAGGCAGTTATGCATATTTTGGTTATAATAAAAGCACGTGAAGGAAGGTGCTATTATAATTTATTATAAATAATATTTTGGATTTACGCCTTTTTTAGTGAAAAAGTTTTTATAAAAATTATTACGATTGGTTTATTTCTCATTAAAATAATATAAATTTTCGTAAAATAAAATGTTATCGGTTCATATATTTTTTACATTTATAAAGTAAATATAACAATTTTTCGTTATTATTATTATTATTCGGTTTTGGGTTTACGCCTTATTAGTGAAAAAGTTTTACTAGTATTATTTTTAATGGTTTATTTTTGTAATGGAAATATTTAAAAAGTTTTACACTTATTCAATTATTTAATTTATACAATTTTTTTAGTGAAAAAGTATTTACAAGGATTATTATGATTTGTGTTCATTTATTTATTTATAAAATCTTAATGTTTACAAAATACAAACTTTTTAAAAAATATAATTTAAAAGTTCTGTAAGCCCTTTTTAGGAAAAAAGTTTCTACAGGAATTATTTTTATTGGTTCATTTACTTTATAAAAATATATAAATTTTCTTTTTGAAGTAAAATTTATAAAAATTTTGCATTATAAATTTGTACATTTTTTTAATGAAGAGTTTATAAAAATTGTATTTTATTGGTTCATTAATATTACAAAAATATTAAAAAATTTTTAGTGAAAAAAAGTTTTAACAAGATTAATTTTTATTGGTTCACTTCGTAATATGATAATTTAAATTATATTTTAAAATTATGCTTTTATTCTTGTTTTTAATTTATTCAATTTTTTTAGTGAAAAAGTTTTTAAAAATTATTTTTATTGGTTCATTAACTTCATAAAAAATTTTTAATAATCTAATGTAGTAATTTACAAGAAAATTTTCATTTACTATTATAATATTTTCAATTTATACAACTTTTTTAGTGAATAAAGTTTTTACTGGAACTATTTTTATTGGTTCATTTCTTAAAAAAATATAAATTTTCTAATGAAGTTATTTATATAAGAATTTTTGTCTTTTAAACTTATACAATTTTTTTAGTGAAATTTTTACAAGGGTTATCATGTTGGTTCGTTTTCTTATTAATAAACTGTAAACGTTTTTAATATAAAAAATTATAAAGTAAAATATATAAAATTCTTTCTTATTATTCATTACTATTATTATATTACTATTTATTTCACTGTTAAAGGGCCAAATATGGCAAAGTTATCTTAGAAAAACTTTGGGAACTTTTTGAAGTAATAAATATTTCATTATTTTATTATTATTATTATTATCATCATTATTAATATTAATATTAATATTATTATCATTATTATTTTTATTATGCGAGTTTATTAAAAGGGCATCTTTTGCATAAAGCGAACCAATTTTATTTTGGGTTCATTTTAGCCACCTTGGAATCCTGACTTTGAAGCCATTTTTGATATTTATTAATTATTTTTCTAAGATATGCCGCCAACGAAACGCGTTAGTGTTTACTATGGAGGACTGCTGCCAACTTTTGCAGGGTAAAGAAAAATAATATACAAAGAATATTAATAAATAAAAAATATTTATAATCCAATAATAATATAATAGAAATATAAAGTAATAATAATAACAATAATATATATAATATTATTAATTATAATAAAATAATAATACACAAACTTTTATTTTGTAAAGAAAGTACTTTTCATGGGAATTTAAATTTTTTTTAATAAATTTACATTATAAAAATAAGTATAATACACTTTTTTAAAAAAATATAATCTTTTCTCTAAGGACTCCATGAACTTGAGTCGAACTGCGTGGACTTGCTCTATCGGAAACAGCACGTGACTGAGTCCTCTGGGTCGGATGTTCGCCTCTCCCAAATCCGACGCAGGATAAATTGGGCACTCTCCTGTATCTATTGACCATTCTTTGTAGCTATATAATTTATTTGACTGCTCTAAGAATAAATGGTATCACATTAACTGTTTACATTTAAAATTCTTGTAATTAAACTAAATGGGCCCCATAAGTCATTTAACATTCTTTGGTATCCAAATGAGGTTAAAAGGGGCCAAAAAATTATTTGCTCCTGTTTAAAAGTTTATAATTGCTCTCGCCTCCTATTTTTTTGGCTGTTATAAGTAAAAATGGTGTCAGTAAATCCGTGCAATTTAATTAAATAGGCCCGTTAAAGTCGATTTTTTCCTTGTTTGGTGTCTAAATGTGTTAAAAGGATCAATTAAAAAAATTGGTGACTCGCTTTGTATTTAGCTGCTTATAAGAATAAATGGTGTCTAATAAATTTGGACTATAAATTCTTGCAGTTAAACTAAATGGGCCCGTTGAGCCATTTTTACAATCTTTGGTACCCATTTGTGATCAAAAGGATCCAATAAATAGTGGATAATCCGCCGTAGCTCTGCACAGCTTGTTAAGTACTAGCGGGAAAAAACGAGCAAAAAAATGCAATAAACTCGCAGTTGCACTTTTTTCCCATTACGAAATGACTATAAATTTAAAATTTATAAAAAAAATTTAGTGTAGTGGAATATTTTTTTAAGCCTATTATAAAAAAATTTTAGTTACAGTTTTAAATTTGACGTTTTTTTAAAAGAAAGGGAATTTTGTAAAGAGGACGCCCTATGGACAATTCCATAGTTTTGGCGCTTTTATCAGAGTCGTGCAACTTTTCAGTTTTTATTTAGTCCTTATGCCACCTGTTTTACAATTTGTTTGCAGGCGTTAATTTCATATATACAAAATTTTGTTTTAAATTTGAACGCTTTAACTACTAAAGCGATATAATTGTCCGTCTAAGGATTGATTAGTTCATTCGATGCAAGTAACAGTGAGCCCCATGACAGGAAAACAAAAATTTTAAAAGAGAGAAATAAGCTAGGAAGTTAACCGTAAGCTATAGTACAAAATTTAGCTAAATTCAGAAAAAACTTATAAAATCTAAATAAGATGAGAGCTACTCTAGAGAGTGTATTATTATATAAAAATTATAAAAAATTAGCTTAGCAGTTTTGACAGGTCAATTTTTTTTTTTCTCTTTATTTTTAGTAAAAGTTTTACTTTTTATTAGACTAGAGTGGGATTGTTCAATTACCATGATTTTTACGAAGCTTAGTATGTAAGTATTCGCATCGGAGTAAAAAGTCATTTGAAAAGTTAATAGAAGAAAAAGGTCACGAAAAATGAACTAAGGACAAGATTTGCTTAGCTGCAATAACTAACCTGGTTGTCAAAGCACTCCCGAAAAAAAAAGATACTGAATTGCTTTCTGAATTTAGGCTTCAAGCAGAAATTTTAATAGTTAAGCTCAAGAAGTATTACTAAATGTATAATAGTTCTAAATTAGGAAACGCGCTAAACTGGTATCAGAGCTTCAGTTAAAAAAAACTAATTTTTTTTTTAAACAGACGCCTACTAATAAAGATTTATTATAATTATGAAAGTCGAGGTTAAAAGCGGTAACTTCGTTTTTTCACTGTTTTTATTATTTAAAATAATAATTATTTATATAGAATGAGATATAAAGAATTGATTTCACTAATTAACGATTTATAATATAAAAGTCGAAGTTAAACACAGCGACTTCGATTTTAACTGTTAATTAAAAGTTTTCTAAGTGATATTTATTTGATGATTTCACTAACGATTTTATTGTATTATAAAAGTCTAATTTAAACGCAGTGACTTCGATCTGTCAACACCCGCATGATGGCCCCTTCACCGCCGGCATCCACAAGCTATAATTAAATCAAACAAATGATAAAATTAAAAAAAAAAAAATTAAAATTAAAATTTCGATTTTTATAATTAACATTTACAAAATTTAATTTATTTAAATTTTCATTTCTATAATTAATAATTACAAATTTTATATAATATAATCGTTTTTGTTTACTATTATTATTTTTTGATTATTTTTAATATTTACGTATAATTTTTAATTAATATATTTTAAATTACTTTTAGTTTTTTTGCTAAAATATATTTATAAATTATTTAAAATTAGTACAAAATTTCAGTGTAATTAATTTTTTTTAAAAAATACATTTTTATTTTTTGGGCTCGCGCGTATCAATATATATATAATACTAGCTAGTAACACCCTTACCAACAGTGTCTCTTCTATACTAGGCCCAATATAGCATAGGAACAAGCACTACGGATTTTAGCGTCGAGCCAACCGGAACCGAATGCAACCCAAGGATCAAAGACCCTAAAGAGTCACACCAGCCCACAGCTGGCCCGAAGCCAACCATAATGCTGCTACTATACTAGACTATACCTAGTATAGAAACCAGCACTGCTGGGTTTTGCAGCCAAACTGACAATTAGCTAAGCCAACAGTCAGTCAAGGAGGTTCAACAGTAGCCTATACTATTGCTAGTATTACTACCGTTAGACGCAACCGTCTATAGTCGATAGCCGAAGCCTGGACTAGACTGCAACGTGCTGCGACGAAGCCGCCTGCTCCAACCGCAGTATAATTTTATAAAACTTTAATTTTTACAAAATTATAATTAATTTGCCATAATACTTACGGTTAAGTTTTAGTAATAAAACTTACGACACAAATTACTAAAAAATAATTTTTTTTTAATGTTACTCTAATTTTTAGTAAAGTGAGAAGACTTATTCATTACAACTGCTGAGTAAAAAAGTGATCGATTAACATTAATAAATAAAAAATAATAAATTATTAATTTAAAAAAAATAATTCAAAATATGAAGATCAAAAGAATATATTATACATAATTCAGAAAAAATAGTTATTTTTATTACTAACTAAATATAAATCTTTAATAAATTTTTTTATTGCGCCTATAATAAAGATTCACGCTAGTTTCTACTAAACCATATAAAATTTATAATTTTTTTTAAAAAATATATAGTAACGCATAATAGCGGACTTAAAATTTCTATATATTTAAAAATATCTAATAAGTTTAAAAAAAAAAAATTTAAGAAAATTACTTATTGGGAATTATAATTAAAATTTAAACTAATATATTAAGAATTAAACTTTGAAAGTACTAAACTATAGAAAAATTAAAAAATTAAAAAATCTAAATTTTTTTAAAAAAAATAAGCATACGGCTTTATGCCATGTTAGTAGAATAGCGCTGCAGCTCGCAGCAAAATCGGGAAATTCCATTCCTTTGAAGACGTACTTTAAGCAAATATCAATATCTGCGGAAGACAAACTTGCAGCTAATTTGTTAATCTCTAAATTTTTTTAAAATAATTAGTTTAACCCAAAAAGTTAATTTTTTGAAGTAAACAATTAAATTTATTATTATAATTAGTAGGAATACAGGTATATAAAAATGCTTTGAAAGTTTTATAATGTGCAATTATAACATATTTTTAAATAAAAAAATTATTAATTAAATTATGCTTCCAAGAAGAAACATGATAGACCAGTATTCTTCATAGAACTTAAAATTTCAACGACTAGTTTAACCATTTCATCCTATAAAAAGAATTAGTTGTAATAAAGTTAATATTTAAAACCAAGAGACTTTCGTCTTCCGATCTGCTGAGTAAAGCGGGTTTTTTAAGCAAAACTTTAAAGCTTCGGGAGCATTAGAGATGTTTAATAATCTACGAACTTCAGATTTTCTGGTATTAAACTCTCCCGATAAGTCTTGTGCTAAATAAAAGTTACCCAGCTAAAATCCTGAAATAAAATAAATTTATTGATAACATACTCCCTTCTTCTAGAACAAAACGATCTTTATCGTAAGCATCGACATCCACTTGCCGATGAGTGTTACTTCTGCTACTTTTGGACATGGTTTAGCTAAATAAAAAGAACAAGGCAAAGGGGGGAAGACCCGAGGCGACTAACCTTTTTAGCTAAAAATGGTTAATAGCATTTATAAAGATAGTATTGTACTATTAGTCTAAATATTAGAGTGGATAGTTGACAATCCGTTAGATAAGTATTAATGTAGTGAGTACATTAAAATGAGAACATATATTTTTGTTAAAAATATATGTAATATATTGATTTAAAAAGTTAGAAAAAAGCGTTTAGGAAATAATTTTTTTTTATAAGTTCTTTAAGTTTCAGAAATTGGTCAGCAGGAAGCATGTTAGTCTGAAAACAGTCTACTAGGATTCAGCCAAAAATAGCATTTTTAAGATATATAGTTCATAAATAAAGCAGAGATGGCATTCAAGTGTATGTAATCGTATAACTTAATATTAGGTTTTTTAACGTACTATTGTCCTATATACTATTTAAAGATTGATAGATAAAAAAACGTTTAGTGTAATATAAAAAATATTTCTTTTTATAATTTATAAAGACTTTGATTGTTTAGATGCTTTTGTGACACCTCAGTATATGCTTATTTAAGGAGCTTATAAAAAATAAACTTAGTAAACTCTCTGAGATGTAACACTATGCCTTTTAAAGGTTAGTTATTAAAAATTATAATCCCAGCTATAATATTTATGGTGTATCTTAAAAGTATATTTTATATGTACGTTGTAGAAGATCAACACAGTTGATTAAGACTATCAGCAGTCTTCATTATGTATATATACGCTATTTTATAAATATGTTACTAATGCAAGAATGGTGAAGAACAAAGTGTTAGGCGGTTATGTGTTTCTTCTGCTTGGCCAATTAGAGGCCGAATTGGTAAATTAAGATCTACCTTTTCCCAGTCACTAAAAACCATTAATTTTATGGCGTTTTATTAATGAAGCCCCTCAGCTGTGTATGTAGAGAACTTTCACTGCCGGCATTCCGCTTGGAAAAGCCTGGTTTAAATGTTTTAACGGCGCGGCCTGTGAGTAGCAGGGTTACAGTACCTAATTCCGCACGAAGGAAGGGGACATCGGACGTGCTGGATATATCAACGTTTTAAAATTAAAAGTTTATCTACTGGTGGAAAATGAAATTCTTATCGAAGTTAGAATAGTCCAACCTGCCCGTCCTGCTTGAGCTGGGTAACGGAAAGGAGACGTTGAAGGCTTTTAATAAGACCTTTACAAATTGAAATTTATCCTTGAGGCCTTTGAGGCGACCATTTAACATCTTCGACGCTATTGAAAACACCCGCCTACCCGAGTGTGAAGGTGCTGCGGACTTGGAGTGCTTAGTTGCTTTAACTCTCTATTGACGAACTCCGTCCTTATTTGCGAGCGTTGACGCCTTCACTCGGTTAACTACGGTGACACAACGCTCTGATGGCAAATCAGAGCTTAATCAACTTCACCGGGTGCATTAGGGAAGAGCTGTTAGTAAATCACAACCTTCAGACAAAGCTTAGCTACGTTCTATAAATGGCTACATATCTTTCTAATAAATATATATATAAATTGGGAGCCTTTACCAACATTCTTTTCCACCAGTCGACGATGTAGACGAAGCAACACTTTTTGCTGATCATCTCACTGCTCAGTAGGTGTCTCTGCTTCTATACTTGCTGATGAAATGCGGTTTGAGTCGAACTTCCCCGCTGATGCCAAGAGCAGCTTGAGCAAAACCACCACAGCCAATATGTGAGGAGTTATTGAAGCTTTAGTAAGGTTGGAAGACCCAACACCGAGGACATAGCCAACGTATTGTTGATGCAAATGCCGGTAGTGACAATGGATCGTTTATTCTGTCTCCTCAATTTGCCCGGGACCCCCGGCTTGCCTTCCGTTGTGATACTCCCTTAGACGCTGCGATCAGCTTCTAAACCGAATAATTACCGACTTATCTGTCCTTGATCGGCAATTAGCAAGGTAGCTGGAGCTGCCAAATTGTTACTAAAAGAGTTTGGCATTCAATGACTCAAGAGCTCCTCCGCCTTATAACATGACGACTCGTGCCTCTAATTTAAAAAAACAACAGGCGCCGGTTTTATTGGCGTCGAAAAAGCGTTCAACCGAGTTTGGCACAAGGATCGATTCACAGATTGCGCGCCATAGTTCTCCTCTCCTTTTTTTTCAAACGGGCATACTCCCCCTTAAAACTTCTTACAGTGGGAGCTCCTCAATGCTATTCTCTACCTTCCTTGCTTCTTGCATGTTAAGCGCATCACGGGACACAGCCCGGCGACCATCACACGTGGTCATCTTCTACTCAGATGATACGACTATTTACGCCTCTTCAAAGCCGTAAGTCTTACTGCACCTCCTACCTAGTCAAGCTTGCCAACTGGTGTGGTCGTTGGAAAATAAATTAAAACGCATAAAAGCAAAGCCCCATCACCACTGCCGCTAACCTTCATAGGCAATTTGTTTATTTCTTTATCCTCTGGTCCCCCTTTCTTGCTACGAGGTTCTGTTCTAGTCTCTTGTTCTGGTATGATCCGTTTATTCTGTACTAATGACCTGGTTTTCTGTTTGTTTTTTTATTCTGTCCACCCTTTTTCTGATATACTTGTTGTTCCTATTAATATCTTATATTTAATAAAGTCGTTTACGTTTATTTGTCTATTGAATACTATTCTTATATACAATGCTCAGCCTTTTTCACAGGAATGACGTTACCTTCGGTGCGTTACAACTTTTTAATAGTCAACGGTACCATGCGTAGCGAGCGCAGTAACTGAGAACTTAAAATACTTATTACATCTATTATTCTGTTAATTCTCTTTCCCTTATACCGTTACAGAAACATAGTCGTTTTTAAAAATATGTAACACACTCTTATAAACCTTTTCTAGTTTTTTTAATTGTATAATCAACTAACTTATTAGTTAACTAATTCCTTTCTGTGCATTTCACCATATTCCTTTTTGAGAATTAGTAGGTTTATTAATGATTAAGACTCTTATAACCAAGCCGGTTATAAAGTCCTATGAAGATCAAAAGAGCAAAAATCTTTGATGGAAGTACCCAATTATAGAGAGTTACTAATGTTAGATAAGAACGAGAACACTAAGGATAATAAGATAGTAGAAAAGGATTAAAAAGATCGCAGATCAATAATGCGAGAATAACAAAACTAAAACTCGTAAGGATAGGGTTTTATTATATATAAATATAGCGCAAGATTCGTCAGGCCTATTGGAGAAGAAAACGTCCAATTAATACACCTGCAAGAAAATTAGAGAAAATTATTAATCGCGTGCTCATTACAACTAAGATTAATATTTTAGTTCTTTATATGATTGTTATTTTTTTACTTTGTAATAGATATTAATCACAAAATTAATTAAGGTTATTGTGAATGAACAGCAATATAAATTGCTAAATTTATAATTTATAGTAGTGTTAACTTCAAATAAGTAAATTTTTTTAATACAAGATATTATTTTATGTAATATCATTATAACTATGTTTTTAAAAAATCTTAACTTAATTCTTTGTACAGTTAAAGATTTTAGCCAAAGGGAAAAAAATAAACTACGAAATTAAAATAAAATGGTACAATTATTCCAAACAACTTTCTTTTTGTTTTGGATTTAGGTCTTTAAATCATAATTTAAAAAATAACTTCAATTCTATATAAAATATATTTTTTATTTTAGTTACTTTCAATGTATCCATATCGGTGAGGTAAAGGAAAGTTATAAGCGTTTAACCCCTTTTTATGTTTATCGTTTAGTTACTGTTTTAGTCATGCGATATGTGTAGAGATTGGTTTCTTATCGTGAAAGTCAGTTCACAAAATAACAAATATATACTTCTTTAAAATTTCCGCAAATCATTATGTTTTTTATTTAAAATAACAGTTAACTGTTAAAGTTTAGCAAACAGCAGTACCCCCGGTTAACACCAAAATATCACCTACTTAACATCCTTTTCATAATCGGAGTTTGGCCGTTTCTTGGACACTAAAACTTTTTTAAGAGTACTTCTACAAAGATAAAAATATATCTTATGTCAAACTTGTAAGACAAATTAAAAAAATTTTCTTTAACCTTTACAAAAATTTTTTAGCTAACTTATTGCTTTTAAATTTACAATAGTAAAAAAAAACATAGTTAAAAACATCATTGTTTAGGTTTTACAAATAATTTTTTCATGGAAAAGTTGTGTGCATCCCTAATTTGGTTTATAGAAGTTTACTTAATTTCCAAACGTAGTAATATTTGTCAAACATGTTTAAAGGCTAAATTAGTTTTTTAAGATTATTAAAAAATCAATTATACTCGAATATAAGAATAAAAACTAAATAAAAGTAAATCTTTACCTTATTTGGCCCATAAATAAAAATTACATTAAGTAATAATTAATAAAATAACTATTTTTTTTATAAATTGTTATATAATTTTTAGTATTTAAGAGACCTTTGAAATTACTAAGTTCTTTAAGTTCTCGGAATTAAGAAAAATGTTATATTTTTGGCTAGCTATCTTTGCTATTATAAATGGCATGTGCGCTCCCATAAATGAACCCTACTCGTTAAACGCTGCTAACGAGCTTGGTAACCTTCTTTATTTCCACTGTTATTGTACGTATTGATACATTTGAAATAATCAAGAAACTGAACATCCTGAGGTTGGATATAAAGAAGCTGGATTTTTACGTAAAAAAATTGATAAAGCATTTATTTTTTTCTTATCTAACTTTATACTACTTTTGGAAACCTGCAAATAATCCAGGTCTGTCGAAAAAAAAAAGTAAGTTTTTACTATATGTGATTTTTATTTTCACTTCTATTATTAGAGAAAAACCAGTTTTTTTAATGATCACCATTTTTTTTCTCTATCACTTGTCTTACATATTTTCTGGTTTTTTTTTAACCACATGAACTTAAGAAACCACTGCAGGAGGAGACAGGGCAGGTAAAATTTTAAATTCGTCTATTATAAATTTTTAATAATTTTACTAATAGCGACGACCAGAAGAAAACTCTCATTAGCTGACAGTAAGTACTTTAATGTAAAACAATTTTAATAACTAATAAAATTGTAATAATTAATGTGAATTAATTATTTATAATGAAGTGGATAGTAAGTCATCGTTATCTATTCAAACTTTACTACTAAAGATTAATTTATTTAGTGTATATATGTATATAAATATAATTTTTATCTTAAATCTTTTCAAAGTTGCCGGAATTGCTCCGGAGGCACTTTCTCTTGGTAAGTTACATGGTTTCATTTCCTAATTAAACTATTAATCCTTTTTGAATAAGTTCCCCTTATAGCTGGACTTACTTCCAGTGGGGGAAATGAAGATGAGGGGACATCATTAAAAATATTAAGTAAAAACATCGACAACCACAAATGTATTAAATTATTATTTTATAAAGGTCAGCTACTTCAAAACTACCAATCGCAAAACTTTGAGGCTGCAAGTGTTAATGATGGTACTTTTCTTATACTTTTTGATGTTTAATAATATAAAGATTGTAAAAAATCACTTCACATACGAAATTAGAAATAAAATTATTTTATAGTGTTATGATCTCAACTAATACACAATTTAACTATAAGACTTTATCCTATAATCTTGTTTCCTAACCTTAACCTAACCCTAACCCTTAATCTTAAACCCTTTTTTCAAAGAAGAGGAGAAAGAAAAGAATGTTAATGCTGAATTATTAGGTAGCAAACTCTAATTCTTTGTGGTTTTATCTTTTTATAGCTTTCCATAAAATATTTAGGTCAAATACTCCGACTTTACCGAGAACAGGAAAATAAAAATATTGCTAGCGGCGATGGTAATACTTTTTTTCCGTCTTATTTTCTTTTTAAATTATTTCTCGCTAGTAAACTTTCTTTATTTCTTTCCTTCCTTTCTGGTATTTACTTGTTTTTTAAATATATAAAACAATTATTAGAACCGAATGAGGAAGTCGACGGATTAAACGGTATCCTTTTCAATCTCTATATTCTTACACTTTATTTATTTCCTATGTTTTTACTTTTAAGCAAATTTATTAGATTATTTAGAGCGTTACTTCCCTCTGCTAACTTTACTAGCAAGCGAACTTAACTCTCTGAATGCACTGGAAACACGTTAGACTGAGCACTTTTTCTTTTTATCACTACAATTATGATAAAATATAATATATATTATAGTGGTGGAGTCCACAGCTTAATAAAAGCCAAGTTTCCTTGAATAATAAACTTACATCAATTTTTTACTTAGGGCTTATTAATAACAATTTTTTTTATCTAACTTTTAAATTCCATTTAAAATGGTGGGAAGTATAAATTTTTTCCTTTTCAATTAATCAGGTATCCATACCACGTGCTGTATTAAGCCAAGTCTATCTGCTTCATGTACCACGTGACGTAGTTCGGGCATTTTAACATCCTAAAAAGTTAGTGTCCCGGACATTTTATACCTTTAGTACATCGATAATGTTTCTGAAAAATAAAATATTTTAAATACAAATTATTAGTTTAAATAATTTAGCCTTCATTCCCTTTCTGTTATGTTCTTTCTGTTATTTTTGCTACCATGCACATAAATTTTTTGTCCCACCTTATCATTTATCTCTTATACCTTCTTTTTTTAAAATAACGTTTACTGGTTGAATTGGGCTAATTAAAAAGATTTTTTATGCGGTTGTCTATAAGATTTCCTTCATCGTATGTATATATATCTACTTATACCGAATAGCTGTGTTCTTGGTCCATTATGCCAAATACATAACTACCTTTCGCAGTTTTAAGTTATGCAACTTCAACATATTGTACTTATTGTGGATCGCCTTACCTTATTAATAGTACAGCACTGATCTCCACGAACCCTCTGAGAATTAAACCTTTCTAAAACTTTTAATAACTTAAATTCAAAGAAACGGAAGTATAATGGCGTCATGATTAATAATAACTATGACTGAGAAGCTTATATCAACTATGTAGTCATGAAAAAAAAAATCAATAAGTTAGGCCTTTTTATTTGCATATGACCAAGCTTACTAAAAAAAACCTTTCATTTAGTAATATTATAGATTTTCGATAATATGGTTACTCCTCGGCGCATAGTCCCACCCTCATATTAATATATATCAATAAATTACAAGTTATACTGTTTTATGTATATTTACGAGTACATCTTTGTAAGTTATAGTTCAATACTACTTCGATTAGACAGCATCCTTCCTTACTTGGACACAAAAAACGGTTGTACTTTTATTTCAAACAATCATACTAAATACAAAAATTCCCAAGGCATATCTTGTCTTCGCTTATAACTAATAATAGTAATTAATTATATTACCTAGACGATATTATACTAATACTATTTATAATGAGGATTTTAACATAACAATAATAGCTTTTGTAGTAGTAATAGTCGTCGTTGTGATGACAGGTAGCCTACTTTAATTTCAAATTTCGATAAATATATATGTTTAAAATTTAGAAATATTAGCCTTCAGCTCTTCTTAAAGGAATATGTATAATTTTTTATTTTGGTTGATTGTACGTAATCCCATTTATATGAACAATAACTCAATGCTCCTCTCTTTTCTTTCGTCACTTATAGCTAAGAGCATAAAAAATAAATATATAAAGAAAACTGGTTTTTGGTCTATTCAGTATACCTTTACAAGATCAGGTTTATTTATCATTTATGTTTCCTCTTGTTCAAGTTTTAGTGTTAGCTTGTCTTTAATTATTTTCAATATTACTTATCGTGCTTGTAATTTTTTTTTTACTTTGCTTGATGTTTATAAAATAGTTCTATATTGATTTTATGTACAGTTGAATTTGGTTTTGAAGTTTTATATGTTAAAAACAATGTTTGCGTAAATTAGTTATTATAAAATTAAATTTCTCGTAAAGGTAATAAACTTTTTTTTGCTATGAGTTGAATATATACATGCCTGCACCGCATAAGCCTTATTAGTTAAAAAACTAAATTATTGTTTATAAATCCTTTATTCGCTCTGTACTAGCCTTTAGTTCATCTTCATGGCATTACTGTCACGCAAAGTTACTTTTAAGGCTGCAAATTTATCAGTTGCTTTGTATGTTCAAACTCTTCGTGATTTTTTTTTTTATGGATAGCTTCATCGTGATCTACAGCTCAATATTATAAAAAAATAAATTAAAAGCGATTGCTGAAAAATTGTTAAAGTGAGTAAAAACCAGAACTCCCTAGTCAAAAGCAATATATATATAGATAATCATAAAAGACCGTAATAATTATAACTATACTATATAATCACTACAGTATAGAGTAAAGGTATTTCCATTATCGGCAATTACTATCGCTGGACATCATAAAAGCCTTCCTTAAAAAATACTTTTAAAAAGATTCTAATGTACATATATGATTCTACACAGTGTGATATCTTTCCCAGCCCCTGAAAAGCATTGAGGCGGTTGCAGTATCTCTCTGCTTAACCAGCCAGGAGGCCGCGTCGGTAATTACAGCTTACAAGTCCCTCAGCAGGCCGCTTATTACCTCAAATCTTGATGCCCTTTTTTTAATGTTCCGTAGTTAATATCGCCGTTTGAACAGATATTAAGATTTTAACGACAATGGAGCTCCTTACGAACTCTCTTTGAACCATCTGCCAGTTCTACTTGCTTTAAGCTACGAAGAGGAGTTAGAGGACATATACCAGAACTTTTACGGTCTGGGCTCATTTCTTAGGGGCTTCTGATATAACCTTTTCAACATCTTCCGCCCTACTTGACGTTGCTGTTGCTGAATTTGAGGGCGCTTTGATCTCGGCGTATCACACCGTTCACGGCAACACGTAAAGTTGAATTCCGCCCTAACCGCTTACTTGAGGCCTTTATCTGCTAACGATGACAGCTTATTCGAGTAGCCACGGTGGTCATAAACGCCCCGAAAATAAATTAGCACTTGATAGCCTACACAGTCTCATTAGAAAAGAGCTGTTGGTGCTCCACAACCGATATTGTGAAAAACCAAGTTAAGTATTATATCGGATGATAACGGTAACGGTCCCGTCCCTTTCCAGAATATTATTAGGAAATACCAAAAAAGAGCGCGTTTACCGTTACCTACTATGAGAGACAGCAATTTGATGGGGGAAAATGCCTCTGACCACGGGACACTTTGCTGATCACCTCGCTACTTAGTGTATGCCGCCTGCTTATATAGTTTGTTAACCGAAATTCCTTGTTTATTCCGAGAAACAGCTTGTGCCAATCGCCCTAGTCAAAATCATAGAGATAATTAACGCTCGAGAGGAAGGCACCTGTATTAGAATTCATGAGAACGAAATTATACCCGCGACCATTAAAGACCAAAAAGAGAGTCGCGTCTGTGGGAACTGAACCCACGAGCTTGTGTGCGCGCATCAATACTCTTGACCGCTGAGCTACGACGATAACCCTCGATCCCAGTGTGATGGTTTTACGCATTTAACCTGTTACTACCACCGTTGTGACCTTCCAAAATAATGTAATTTTCTTGGTGTTTTTGCGAAATACCTGGGAGTCATTATTGAGAGTAAGCCTTCGTGGCGGCAGCAAGTAAACTATCTCGCGGTGGTTTAAACTCTTTACCCTTACTTTGTGCCCGCAGCAAACTCTCGTTGCCCGACAAACGACGCTTGTATTAGGTGTGCAACAGACCGATCATGACATACAGGTCTACTGCTTCTGCCAACGGCTCACCAACAATTAGTCTCTTCGTTTCAAGTAAGACAAAACAAGCTGGTACACCTTATGAAGGCTCCTCGTGGTTTATTCGCTACGATGCCTTATACAAGACCTCCAGATTTAACCCCCGCTAACGTTTTCAACGCAATGCTATCGCCCCCTACAATCGGCTCGATCGGCTCACCAATCAATTACTGGGAAATTAGGTCAACTACGAAATCAGGGACGATGTACGCTATCTCCGTGGCGTAATGGCCTCTAAATATAGTATTTGGGTTAGGGGCAGCATTATTATTATAATATATACTTGGGATTGCTTTAACACAAGCTTAGAGCTAATGTGTATGCTATTACCCTTTGAGAGTTTGTAAATTCGGTGTTTCCTTTTATGACCCACTCGAGAACCAGGAAATATTAATAATAAAAAATATATACATATATATTGAGGAGGAAACAAGAAGTTATAATTAATTTTCCTCTTATATCGGAAGAATTTTAGGGTTACGTGTATTTTTTCTTCTTATAGTAATTTTATATTATTTTACTTTACTTTCCATGTTTATAAAAATACTTTATCAACAGGAATTTTATTTTTAAATTTGTAAGTATATAATTTTAATTACATTTAATCAAATATTTAAGATAAAAGAAGTGGAAACATAGGTAATTTAATTTTTGCTTTAAAAGTTTACATATTATTCTATTTTTCTTCCCACGCAAAAATTTGTTATATACAAGTTTACTAAAAATAGCATTCGGTTTTTGCAAAAATTCATAACAGCGCTTTATATAAAAAAGGTTTACTTAGTACTATGTAAGTTATATTAACCTGACTATTATCCGGTAAAAAACTTACTATATTGGATTATACTAGGAATTAACTTAACAAAGTAAAAGTTTGTGGATTAATTTTAAGCTTTTGAACAAAAATTTTGATCTTTTTTTCTTTTTCGCAAGTATCTTGATGTTGTAAAAGAAAATTACCTCCTTATTATTTTTAATTATAATACTTTCATTTACTTAGTGGACTCTCAAGTATATTTCAAGATTTTTATATTCAACATAGTTTTAAAAATTTTTTTTAGTAAAAAGTAAAACTTTTTAAACTTACAATAATTGTTAACGGTTCTTTAAATTTATAATATAGTTTAGAATAAATAATTTTGTTTATTTAGTTGATAAAAGCTTAGTTTAAATAAGCTTTGTAACACTTTACTAATAGTTTTTCAGTTACGTCGTTCGTGAGGGCTTATTTATAATTCATTGCATATTCCTTTACTGTGAAGTTAATAAGTAAAAATGATTGAGGTGGATTTACTATACACTTATAAATATTACACTTTCGACACTCAAATTTATTTATGTATACTTGGTAATTTCTTCTTTGACGACTATTTGCGCATATTTGGAAAACAACTACAACGTCTGGCAAGATGTTTTTTAAATAAGCAATTTGTAATTAAAAAAAGTAACTTTTAATGCCATTGATTAATTTATCAGCTTTCTTTATGCGACTTTAAACTAGTTATATTCTTTTCCTCGATCTTTTTTCAATTAATAAACCTTCTTTTTAAAATATAATAAAAGTAGAAAAACCTTTATTACTTTGCTTTGCTTCATTTAAAGTTTTTAAATCAGCCAAAAAATACACAAATAATATTTTGTGATGAAATGCGCTCTCAAATATATATTTTTATTTAAAAAAAAATTTCTAAGTAAAATTCACTGGCCACAGAAGGGAACTTCAAAGCTTGAGCTGTTTTCTTATAAATAGACTTATAATATGATAATTTCGAGAATTTTATATTAGAGTCATCTCTTGCTATGTTTTATAATATTTAAAAACCACATATACAAAATATTCTCCGAGTCGTGCAATATTCAGGTCTTTTATCCCTTTTTAAAATTTTTTTAAATTAATGAATCTGTAGCGAAGTTTTTTTTAAAATGTATTTATTATAAACAATCTCCCTAGACATTTTTCTTTCAGAATCTTTTTGAAAATAGAGCTTCCGTTTAATAACATAAATAGAGACATTATCTTTAACAAAAATTCTGAAGCGTTTGATTGCATATAGTATTTTATCTCTTATAAGCTAAGTGAAACTCAATTTTTTTTTTTTTTTGAAGCATTTCACAACCTGGCTGAATTAGCGTACACCCATCACATTTTTTTAAAATAAAAAATTTGTAATTTTTCTTTCATTCTCAATTAAACTACATTTTATAGTAGTAAAAGAGTTTATCAGAGAAGTCAGATTTTTTCTTGTAGAAAAAAAAACTTTTTGCCAATTCGTTACCAAATTAATATGTTTTGTGATAAGTTTCAGGTTCTTTTTCACTATATTTTAGCCTAAAGCACGGATTATTACCAACTTTTAGGTCGTTTGAAAGGGAGTCAAAGCTTTTTTTTTACTTCAGTGAATGCGAAGTTTAAAAACTTTTAAAGAATTTTACCCCTTCACATATACTAAAGTTTGAGGAAACAAGTATAGTAAAGAAATTTATAGGTCACTTTTCTCGTTAATGTAGTAATTCTCTAATTATAACACAAAAATTTAAAAATAACAAGTTTTATAAAAATTTTGAGTAGTTATGTTAGCTCTTCGCCTTAATAAAAAATAAGTTATATAGTTTAAAAAAAAGGCGATATTTATTAGTTACTTAGCAGGCACTAATAATAATAATAAAAAAAGCTAAATTTTTGCGGCGCTCTAAACAATCTTCGTTTTCAACTACTTACAGCAAAAAAAAAACATTAAATTTTGAAATTTTTTTTTTAGTAGTTAATGATGAATTATTTATATCTCTAAAAAAAATTATATAATAAATAAATAGATAAAAGTTACCTTTTTATATTTAAAAGACTAACTTCAATTTTTTAATACCCTTTAGCGCAAGACTACTTTGTAAACGTGAATAACTCGAAGTCAGTCGTAGTTTTTTACCACCAACACTGTTAAAAAGCTTTTTTTCTTAAATTTGTGATCATATCCTTATTATTTAATACCGTAACGAGTTGTGAGAAAATTTGGAAGTTTTGGGAAAAAAATAAGAAGTGTTATTAAAATGAATTATGCTGAAGAATTAGAAACTTTAGAAAAACTTTTAACGGAGCTTTATTCTGGTCCTACGCAAGAAAAACGCTCGGAAATTGGTTTATTACGATTGCAAAAATAAAAGAATATTATATTATAAATTATATTTATTTTTAATGCGTTTTCGGGAACTTATATATAATTTTTTAAATAGCGGTAGTACTAATCTTTACTATGTCGCAGAACAAATATTATTAAATTTTAAAAAACAATCGGATTCCTGGAAAGTTTGTCGTCACTTTCTTTATATGTCCTCTTCGGAATACGTGTCTTGGTTTTGCCTGACTGTTTTTGAAGTATAAATTAATTTCAAAATTAATTTATTAATTCTTCTGTCTTCTTTTTTCTTACGAAGGACTTGATAACTAAACGTTGGAGTCAAGTAGCTTCACCTTCAAAAAATGAGCTGCGCCATTATTTCTTTCACTTATTAAATACTTCTTCAACTCGTTCTCGGTTTTATAATTTTTTTTAACACTGCTATAATTTAATTATAAATTAAATTTAGGGTTTTTCAAAGTGAAATATTAGTATTGATAAGCGACTTAGGAAAAATTGAATGGCCAGAAGAATTTCCCAATTTCTTTACGTAAAATTAAAAATATATTTTTTTAAATTTTTGTATTTATTTTTTTTGCACATTTTTTTAAATGATAGTTATAAACTTCAATTTAAAAGTAAATTTCTGAAGGTTTTAATAGTCTACTTTTTCTTTTTTATATCATTTTTAAATAGATTTATTATAATTATTTTTAATTTTTAAAAAATTTTCTATGTAATTATTAATTTTATTTGTGATTTTTTATAATAACACAAATATAATTTATATTTTTTGATATTATTTTCTTTAAAATAATGTTTTTATTTTGTCTTGTTTTACTTACTTATTATTTAATCAATATTTTCAAATTATAATTTATTGCTTGAGATTTTTTTTAGCTAATTTTCATAAAAATCAAAGTTTTTCTCACCAGGTATTTCTTTTGTTTTCTTCTTTTTTAATTAATTCAATTTGAAAGAAAAGTTTATATGTATATACCATAATATTCGTATTATTATTACTACTATATAAAAAATAGTAAGCATTTATAAAAAAATAAGAATTATATAGTTATGAAACTAAATTAATAGTAAAGTTAGCAGTTTGATTTATTTTTTAATTTAATTTAGATTTATACTAGAACAACTCCAAAGTAAATCTTCTGAACTTTTGGGCTTAAAACTTCTGAAAACTTTTGTGGAAGAGGTCATGTGCCCTCGAAAAGACATAGTAATAAACTATTTCTATTTTTGAAATCCTTGAACTTAATTTTCGCTGATTGGTGGTTATCTGATAGATAGTAAATAAAAACATGATTTTATTGGTCTAGGGTCAACACTGACTTATTTATAAGATTACTTAATTGGTTCCAATTTTTTTCTAATAAATGTTCTGTTCATAGCTTTTTTTGTTGTGGTTTTAATTAGTTTCATCTCCATCCAACCCACTTGCTCAACAATTTGAGTTGAGCAAGTGGATTGAACACTCAAATTGAAGTTAATTGGTTGGTTCATTTTTTAATTACTTCTTATTGGTGCTATTAAAGTCTAGGGTATTTACATTTTTGTTTTTATTTGTTTACTATTATTATATTAAAGGTTTTTTAAGTATTATTGTTTAATATTATTCTATATATACTTTTTTATAGTATGTTAATTGTTTTTAATAATTCAATTATTTACTGGCGTTTATTACTGGTCAACTATAAATTATGTTTATTTTTATTATTATTTTACCATAATTTTCAGTTTTATAGATTTTATTATTAAATAATAATAAAAAAAGGTTAATAGCCGCAGACTTGTGCTATTGAAAACTTTGCTTCATGCTCAGTACCCAATTTGCTTCCATATTGTTAGCAAATAAAAATAAATACATTAAAAAAATAATAATTATTATAATATTAATAGTAATAAGTAAATAATAAAAATAATAATAATAGCTTTCTGAGAAGCTTACTACTGCACTTGCAGGAAATAAAAAAAGTAACTACGGTTAGTGCTTTATTATTATTCATTTATTAGTATTTTTTTGTACTTAATTTTTTATTTATATTAAAAAATTAAAAAAAAAGGAAATAAATATCATAAAAGTTTTTTTTCTAAATAAATTTATATAAAGAAAATATAAAAAATAGTAATTATCATTAAATATTATATAAATCTTTTTTATTTAATTATTATTTGTATAAAAAAAAAAATAAAAAAATAAATATTAATTAATATAAAATTGCTTTATTATTATCATTATTATATATATATATTTATTTATTAATATTATTTATTTATTTTTGTACATTTATTACTATTATTATTTACTTATTTATTATTATTATTAGAAAACTCCTTTGGGAGTCTTCCGGGCTCTCCGCATTCTTCTCCTGAAGTTTCTGGAGTTTTTTCCGTTCCGAATTCTCCTTTCCTTGGCCGGTCGGAGTATTTATTATTATTATTATAATTACTTATAATCTTTTTATTTTTTATAAATAACACTTTATTGCAGCTGTTAAAGAAAACTTTTTTATATGAGCTTTTACTTTTCATTACTCTATATATAATACTATTTTTACATTTCCTTTTACTTGTAATTACCTATTACATATAATTATTAATGTTAATATATATTTTATTATTATTATTATTATGTTTTCCTAACAGGGCGAAAATGAATATTAACACTTTTCAAGATCAAGAGGTTTTGTTATTATTATTATTTATTATTAAAACTACTATAATTTATTATTATGTACTTCAGGCTATTTGCTTCGAATTACTTTCTTGCATTATTATTATGATTCCGTATGCGAAGGTTTTCTCTTTACTATTACTATTGTTATTTGCTAATATTATATTATTATTATTATTACCATTATTATTTGCTTACATTTTATTATTATTAATGTCTACTTTTTTTGCTTTTATTTTATTATATTTTTTTTCTACTATTGTTAATATTCTTTATTTTTACTTTTTAATATTATTTTTCTTTTTGTTATTTTTTTTACTATATACTTTTTCTTTCTATTATTTTATTATAATTCATTTTTTCCCTGCGCAGCCTGAGCATCTTAAGGAAAAAAACTTGGCTTTGCGGATCTTCAATGTCTTTTATGATCCTCTGGTTTTTTACTGTTATTATTTGAAAATATATTAACTTTTTATATATTTTCATATATTATTATTTATTAGTATTTTTTATTTATTGCTATTTATCCTCTTTTTTTTATATTTTATTTTTATTTATTATTATTATGGTTTCTATTACAATTTTTTATTATTATTATTTTCTTTTATATTTTATATATTTTTATTTATATTAATTTATATTTTGTTATTTTTTAAGTTTTACTTTTGGTTATTACTTTGTTAATAAATTTTTAATATTTAATATTATTTTTATAAAGTATTAATATTAATAATAAAAATATTATATTTTTCTTACTATTAGTTATTAGTAAGTTTCTTTATTTATTAATTCATTTTTATTTATTATCGTTAATAAATATTTTTATTTATTTTTATTTTTATATAATAATAATTATACTAAAGAACAATATATTTTATTATTATTTATTATTGTTAATTTTCTTATTAATTATTTATAAATTTATTTTTATTATTATTAATTTTACATTATCATATTTTTTATTATTTTCATAAGAATATTATTATTAATAATATTCACTAATTTTAGTCCACTGCAAGTCTCAGAAGCAAATCTTTTGAGTGTTTATTGGAGCTCGCAAATTCACATTGTGCTCAACACGTGACTCAAGTAGCTCAGTTGGCTCATGAAACGGTACTTTTCTTCTTTCCTTTTTTCGTATTTCTTCAATTGATAGACGATATTCACCGCATGAGAGACAAGACAACTTCCTTTTTCCGTGTTAAGAGCATTTTCATTGATTTTTTAACTATATGACTTTTAATAAAAAATCAACAAGCAACCCACGTGTTTGTATAAACCAGATGAACTTTCTTTATGCCACGTGCAAGGGCGAGTTTTTATTGGACGATGATATTGAAGAGTAAAGCTTTGATTAGTAATTATATCTCAATTTTTTAAAGATCGAATATCACTGGTCTAGAATTTCCGGGAAGGCCATCGAATTTGTTAAAGTTTTTGTCACTAAAAATTTTGAATTTCTTTTACAGCAAAAAAGCGACTTTTTTCAAGCGCTTCTTCAGTGGACTTTCTTTCAAGTTTTATTATTATTATTATTATTATTATTATTATTATTATAATTTATTATTTTTATTGTATTTAGCAAGATTTATTATGTTTTCAACGTTCATTGGAAGTTTGGAACTGCATCGTAGAAGACCACTTTCGCCTCGAATTGGCTTCATTGTACGTTTAACATTATATTATTATTACGGTTCATTATTATTTTTGAAAAGTTTCAATCCGCTGTTCTTCCAATTATGCGAAGTTATTATTCAACGAGGCCAGTTTTCTACGAATCCGCTTCTTAAAAACTTTTCTACCGGAGAAGACTTTTTTACAGCCGTTATTATTTTTGTTATTATTATTACTATTATTATTATTATTTCATTAGAATAACGAAGTGAGCTCCTTCATTGTTGAGTGCGTCAACACTTTTACTGAAGTTTCTCAAAGTTTCGAGTTGGAGCTCTTCATGGCTCTTCTCTTAAAGCTCGTACCACTTTTTTTTTGTAACCAAAGAGAGCTTTGTCTTCTTCTTTATTCTTTCTTCTATTGGTTGTGGCATTACCTTAATTGTTATACTCTAGCACGTGCTTTTTGTTCCTTTTTGCGAGGCTTATGAAAAACTTTGTAGCGCCTTAAGCGAATCAGCGCCTCCTCCGGGGTTTGCCAATCAGTGTCGAGATTTTTTCACTTGTCTGCTCTGCATGGAACGACTTATTATGTCTTGCTCTTTTCCTGCAGAAGTTTTTATATACTTTTTTATTTATTTTCATTACTTTTAATGCTTTTTTTTGTTTAGCTTCTCACTCAGTTTATCTCAAGTCTCCTTGACACCCTCAAATGTGGTCACCAATCACTCGCCTTTTTAAAAAACGCCGCGTGCTCTCACGTGTTAGGCCAGTTTTGCGCATTCTTATTGATTATTCATTTAGCCGATGGGTTTATAGACACGGGCAGGTTATTGCCACCCTTGGCGCTTGTTGGTACCAATTAGGAGCTTCTGGGGCGGCACTAAATGAGGAACTCGTCCAGTTTTTGCATATTATTCTTCAATGCATCTACCAATTATATGAGACCGATGTATTAACATAAACATTAACGTTATTATTATATTTCATTATAATTATTACTATATGATTATTATTTTACTGCCCAATCATAGCGCACCTGCTAAAATACGTAAATTTATTACTCCCAGTTAAGCCATAATTGTACCAAATATCATTTATTTGATCCTTTTGTGTTACAAATTCGACTAAATTACTATAAAATGCGAGATGGCTACAGTTTATTTTAAATTACAATTTGCTTTTGAACCAATCAATCTTATTTTTTCTGCACGCCACCAAAAAATTGATTTTTTTATTTATAGAGCGACCTATCGCTGTTAGTTAAAGCTGCCACTTTTATTCAGACGGTGGCGGCAACCACGAGGCCTCGAAGTTCTTTTCATTTTTAAAGTCAATCAACATCTACTAAATTTTTGTTTACCAGAACTTTTTACGGACGGAAATACCAAGAAGTTTGTTGAGTTTGTCGCTATTGGCCAGCAGTTTCGGTTTCCTCCAATTGTTGAGGAACTGCTTTTTCACAGCATTACTTGCATGTTTGTACTTCCTTGGCGGAACGTCAGCAGCGATGCGCAGGTGCCTCTTGAGCTTCTTTTGGTTGAACTTTCTTTATTTATACTGCCGAAGCTTTTTGAAGCAAGGGCCATGGAATATCAAAATTTTATTGGTCCAACCCTGGAGATTTACCAGCGTTTGTTGAGTAGTGTTTCCGCCAATGGTAACTCTACACCTGTTTTAAGATTAGATAATTGGTTTGCGGTTGCAGAAGCACAAAATTGATTGGCTTGCGTTTTTATATTTTTATAACGTTGGCTGCCTTTTACGTTAATCAACCAATCATAGACGTAAAGTTGATTAAAACGATTTCAAGAATTTTAAAGGCGATTGCGTATGGCATGCGCGATTCACAAAAAACCGCGAAAGTTACTGTTTTTAGCAACCTTCAAAAAATATTTCCTGTCCTTTCTCAGTACCTTCAGCGTGCAGGCAAATCCATTTTGTGAAAAAAATTCATAAATTATAGTGAAGTTGTATACTTTATTGTTTAGATGTAGCGGAAGAAAGTTTTGAATTGCTATTGGCCTTTTTCCAATCTATGCTTTCTCTTATGGGTGAAGAAACCGTTCAACAAATTTTGGTATTCACTGATCATTGCATTATTTTTCTTGCGCTTTGCAATTTTCTGGGTCAATTAAACGAACCTTTTAAAATCCTTGTTTACTAGTTTTATTATTTGTATAATTAATATTATTCGTTATTTGTACACGTGTGAGTCGAACACGTGGTTTCTGTTCATTATTTTCCTGCCCATTTTTAATTGGCTCCTTAGACTACCGTATTTGAACTTTTGAAACCGCAAAGAAGCACACAACTTCAGCCTGCTATTCTTGAAAATCTATTGCTTTTGTTTTCCACACTTTGCCAAGACGGTAGCTTTGCTTTATTCTATTTGTTATTAATTATTTTGTTATTTATAATTATTATTAATTTAGGCTCTCGACGATTCAAAAACTTTGTTCCTGCTATACTAAATTTATGTCTGGAAACACTTCTTCCCTGGACACACGTGCGCACGTTTTTCTATTTCTCTATTATTTATTACTTTGTTCATTGGTTCAACAGAATTGCAAGGGCGGCGCTGCCAATGTGGAGTTGTGCTTTCAAGTGATGTTGGAGGCCCTGAATACCCATTGGTCGATGTTTTACTTGAATCCTTCTGCTCCTCTTCAAAACGAATCGATATTCATTCATCTTTTCGAGGCTGTCTACGCAGCACTGCGTAGTCCAGAACTAAATTTATTCAAACTTTGCTTATTGCGTGTATGAAACTGCAGCTTTTTATTTTATAACGGCTAAATTTTTTTTATTTGGAAACTTATAGCTCAACGAACTGGACCAAAAAAGAAACTTGTTTAAGAAAAAAGAATTTAAGGAGGCCATGTCGGTTGTTTTTATTCGTCAGTTGCTTAATGTCCTCGTGGAGGTCCGCGCTGAGCGCCTTTATATATCCGCGTTTTTTTTATATTTAACAATTGTACAGAAGTCGCATGATTTGGCAAGCGATCGTATTATAGAGACAATCTACTTTATAGCTAAAGCAGATACGGTACGCTATTTATATAAGTATAGCTGCTATATAATGTCTAACGGAGTAAATTAAGCTATATTACTATAAAACTACACCATTTTCTAATTTATGTTCGTTGCAGAATTTGTTCAGTAGCGGGGGGTTTGTCCGTGTAATTGAAGAGTTGTGCCCTTTTAATATGCAACGCTCTTTAGAAAATTCTGCAACTGTTAGCGAGTTTCTTACAGTAAATTATATCTAATGATAAGCAAATCAGGTGAGCAAATTTTATATTAAATTAGGATTTTCCCACTTTCAGTGAAAAGCTAAAGAACATAGTTCATGACATCCGCTACCTGCACTTTTTAAATTCGTAGCACCAAACTTCTTTTTTGACAAAAATAATAAATAAAGGAACATATTTATTACTTACTAAACTTTTATAACTCTATTCCACCTATGCAATTTTGTTAAACGCAAAGAAAACCTATTGCTTAACAGGTTTAAAGGTTTAAGGCATTAAAAAATTGTGCTTATTAAGTTATAAAAGTTTATTAATTTATGAAGCATAAAACGGGGTGCCCTAAGAATCTAGATACTTCGATGTGAACAGTACTTTTTTTATTACTCATCATATTAGCCTATTCTGAGACCCTAGAATTAGTAAAGTCATTGGGGTACACTTATGGATTTCGTTCGTGCGTGCGAGACGGACTAACAAAGAAAGATATACTAGTATTAGTTCTCAGCGGGATTCAGTGGGAAAATAGCTCTCAGATTATCCACGATAGTCGCTGTAGACGGTTTCTCGCCAGCATAAGTTTCGGACAACTCATCCTATAGAATCAGTTATGACCAGTCGTAGAAAATTATAAAACATAATACTACCTTTGTCCATCGGAGGAAAGTTAGCATCAGCATCGCTCAAATATAACATAATTTATGCTAACCGTGCGTCGAAGACACTCTAGAAACCCTCCGAATCATACGTTGAACAGTCAGCCTCCATGCGAAGCGGGGTAACCATATTCATTAGTTAATGTTAACCATATGACCTCCTCACAGCATATGTTATTAACTATCACCAGATTTATCAATTTTTTTATATAATTCATAGAATTTAATTGAGAAGTTGTTTTTGGAGTATATATATAAAACTATATAGTTAATAACAGAGGGGTTTTCTGCTTGTTTGTTTGGCTTTTAATGTCTCTATGGGTGTTTTGCTCGTGCTTGGCTATCGACTTCTGCTTGGCAGTTCAAAGAAGGATTGTATAACTTGGGTTTAAAGAAAAGCCTCGTGAATTTTTAACAGTCAATTTGTTCCACTATATCTGTGGATTCAAACATACTTGATTGTTTCAGCTCAAATTAAAGGAAGCGTAGACTCATAGTGGGTTACTAATCAGCACATGTTTGTTAGTCGTTACATTTAAACTCTCGGTTAAGTATCTAACGTGTCTGGTCAATGTTCATGTTAGAGGTATCCCCAAACAATTGATTGGAAAATACTTTCAAAAGACCTATTCCATTTTTGTTATAGGTTCAATTTCTGACAGGTACCCTTTCCTTCCCACAGATTCCAGAAAGAGTCTATTTTCATGATATGTTAGGCCATAATAATAGCCTTAATTAAAAGAACGCTATGCATTTAACCCACACAGTTGTCTTGATTTTTGTAGATAGCAGAAGCTTCCCTCACTGTGTTAGTAACGCATAAAGCATGCAGGCTACAACATTCCTCGGTTAAATCTTTAAATGGTGGCGTTCAAGCTCACATCGCGCATAGCGAGTCACGCTAGATGAGCGTTCGAGTACAACTTCTATCTTATACAGGTTTTTTCTTACTTCGTTAATTATTTCTGACCTATCTCTAATAGAGTGCTAAAATTTATAAAAGCTAATCAGTATTTTTAAAAGGGTAAAAAAGTATGTTGCCTGTTTTTATTAACGTCTCATTAGTCATTGGCTTATTACTCAGCTAAAGCTTACCGCATTGAGACCTATAATTTTCTTGAGCTAGCCCATTCTGTTACCCTAAGTAAAGGAAATGGATATTAATATAGCAGTCCCTGGGGTTTAATAGCTATTAAAACTATAGGACTAGGGGTTACAGTCGAACTACTTCCGCCATAAAGCTTTTTGTCCTAATCAACTTGCGCAATCTCATTAACAGCTAAATCAAGAACAAGGCAGGAAGTTACAAACTTTCGTCACACAGAGCCGCCAGCCGTAGAGCCTTTTCTCCACTTTAAGTAGTGAAAAACCTGATAAATTGTAATTTAAAAAAGAGTGACAAACTTTAAGGTGTGTAAGAAGGGAGAGGACTGTAGTTTAGGTGGTTATCTTCCTCCTTCGCACTAATGACGGTTCTCCACAAGGTTGAGGGTGGTACTGGATAAATTGATCAGTGAAAAATTAACTAGCTAAATTTGAATCAACAAAGTCAAACGTGGAAATTTAAGGTTTCAGTTTAGATATCTGCCCTGAGCAAAACTCTATGGGGGTTTTAAAGAAGAATCTTTCCTGTTTCCTTTCCTGCATTACTTTTTTGTTGTAAGTGGAAGAGTGCACCTGTAAACTGCGCTTTGGAGGATTAGAAACTAATAATAGTAATTGAAAACTAAAAAAAACAGTTTTAGCTTAGTCGTAGTCAGGCTTTTCTTTAGCGGAGTAGTGGCCTTTTGAAGCTCTCATTATTATTAACAAATGCATATATATGAGTAGAAAAGAGTTTACTCCGAGAACTGGAGAAGCACAAAAAAAAGAATTATTCAATTTTTTTTTGGTGTATAAACTTTTTTTTAATTGATCTACATGAAGGTATAAATATGTGATACAAAATATAAAAATTTCAGGGTTTATCAACGGCGCGGTTTTTAACGCACGAAGTAACGTTTTATTGGGGTGTTGCACAAGGAATATTACTATAATAATTATAAAAAGACCAAAAAAGATAGAACAGAGCCCTGAAGCTAGAAAAAGCGTTTAAATTGTATAAAAATTGAAGACAATTCATGTTTTCCCTTGATCGGGGAGGTGGATGCATAATAATAGAATACATAAGGGCGAGGTTAAGTACGCGACCTAATGACCAAAAAAGAGGGTCGGTGAGAATGGAACCCATGACCTTGTTTTTGCGCGTCAATGCTTTTAATCGCTGAGCTACGACTAACCCTCAGGCCGGGGTCATTAGCCGGTCTTGGGAGCCCATACATTTAGCCAAGGCAGAGCGCGTGCTTATAACGTATTAGAATACATGAGGGCAAGGTTAAATACGCGACCATTAAAGACCAAAAAAGAGAGCCCGCGTTGGTGAGAATCGAACTCACGACCCTTAGTAGGGTGTCAATGCTCTTAATGGCTGAGCTACGACGACAACTTTCGACCCTGGTATGATGATTTTACTTATATTTTTAACCTATTACATATATATTTTTTTTTTAATGACACTTCCTGGGGCTCGACCAAGTCAAAAAACTTCAATTACTAGAGTTCTCAATCAGGGGCGATCGCAGATTTACAAAGTGGATTTCAAACGATAAAGTGAAAACTAGCGCTTACGCGCGGCCCGTGGGCGACGATACAGCGCCTGGGTAGCCTGTCGTAAAGGGCAGTGGCATTTCGTTGAAAGACGACTCCCACAGGTAAAGAGCTTCATTTCGCACAAACCACGGCGCGTTTGTCGTCCCACGCAGCAATTTGTTCTGTCGCACTCTAAATGCCGATGCTATTGCAGCGGAGTCGTAGGCCCAAACAGCAGAAGCGTATGTCATATCCAGTTTCCGTTTGTTTCGCAGAGAGAGCTTGCTCTTTCCGCATAGTAAAGGGTAAAGCGCCCTAGTTGCTGCCTTAACTTTAGCCGTAACATAGTCCACGTGCGTCTGCCAGAGAAATTTGTTGTCTACGATAACCCCCAAGTATTTCGCTTGAAAAAACCGCGAAATCTTCACGTCTTAAAGGATAAGGGCGCCAACTAAGGGACGCGTTTCTTTGTAATTAATAGCACTTTTCTCTTCTTCGCATTTATAGAAAAATTCCAATTATGGCACCAGTCAGCAAGGGCATCAAGATAGCCCTGTAGATACTTGCATAGCAAGACAGGGGACTTCGACGTTGAGTAAATGGTCGTATTATTGGCGTAGAGGGCAATTTGTGTGTGTGGACTTAATGACAAGGGCACATCGCTTGCAAATAAAAGGGGCGAAAGAAGGATTCCCTGAGGAGACTCTGCAGTCAGAGATCCCAACGGGGGTATATCACCCACGCTCACGCTGAAAGACGCGACTATTTAAATATGACATCAGCACGTTGTAAAAGCCATGACAAATGAAGTTTGTGCAGCAGACCTTAATGACAAACTTGATCAACGTTAGGGATCACAGCGCTTAGTGTCTCCTTAACGTTAAAAGCGAGAGTGTTCCAATCAGTTGAGCGGAGGAACTGCTGGGTCGTTGAGTGCCCTTGCCGAATCCAAACTAAAACTCCGGTAAGCTTTCCCGAGCGTCAGCGACCTCTTTAAGATGGCGCAGTAAAACGGCCTCACCCACTTTGCCGGCCGCTGACAGGAGACTGATAGATCGGTGCTTGTTAGTTGCTAAGTATCGTTGGCAGCATCAGAATGGTCACCGTCTTCCGTCGGATCGGAGAGGCGCCATCGCATATTTAACTAGGAGGTACAGGTAATGCACCCCTGTTAACGGCATTTCCTTCAGCATCTCATTAGTGAGGCCATCGGGGCCAGGCTCTTTTCTTGTGGGTATGCTTCGACAATTGCTTGAACTTCTCCAATATTAACTAGTTTTAAGTGGTAGGTAGACTTTGGGAAGCTCAGAAAAGGGAGCGCGTCATTAACAGATAAGTGAGCAGCTGGCACGTTTTCGGTAGCGAAGAGATTAGCGGAAAGCATTGCTTTGCCTCCATAATGCCCGGCCACTATATTTCCTTTGCGAAGGGGTGGTAGTGGTGAAAGTCTCCTATTTTGATCATTCTAAATAATTATTATGAGGAGCGGTTGTGGCTGCCTGATTCTAATATATGGTGCAGGTTGACCTCTTATTTATTGTTAAAATGGACCAGTAGTAACTTCTTTTTTATGCACCTGCGCAGTTGATTAAGCGCAAGTTTGTCTTCAACGCTCCGTGACCACGTGGTCAAATTTATAAGACCTCGACGTTGGCAGATAAGTACCTTTATTTGGTCAGACAGGTGGCTGGGGCTGTACGTTACTTCACGAGTTGTCAGTGCGCTTTCAAATAAGGCAACGGCATCCTCCAGAAGGGCGAATGTAGACAATACTGCCCTACAAGGCAAGGGAGAGGTTTCTAAAAACTCGGCATGCTTGTTCCAGTTGGTAAAAAAGCGGTTGATAGCCCTC